CAGGCTGAGTGACTGAAAATTAAAACTGGCAACTTCTAATAGACTTTTTGGGAAAAGTCCCACAAGAGCTCAATACAGAAGTCCTGGGTTGGTCTTGAGGGTGAGGACCCACTTTTGTCAAGACCAGCTTGGATCCTCAGAGTTGCCTTCTAAAGAAGCAACCATACCACATATCAAATATTTTGGGCAGCCTCTCAATTTAGATGCATGATCCAAACCTCCACTATTATGACTAGCAATATGCTCATTCAAATACCCAGACACTTGATGATTAGGTAAGCAGAAGGAAGAGAAGTAAGCCACATGGTGCAGTGTCAGGAAGTATTTCTGGCAAAGCAGCCAAGCCTTAGTCAAGAACAATAAGCACAGATGAGCATATTCTGCAGATCAGACAACAAAAGCCCACTGAAAATAAGAACATGTACCATACCAGGTACTCACTGATTAAGAAGCATTCAACATAAAGCTGCTGAAAGTCTGACATGACCCAAAATGGCAGTTACCTTTCTACCCATTCAATCAATACAGTGAAGCCCAAAAACAACAGTAGTAATGCCCTAAAATAAGGCACAGTGCAAACTGAATTCCTTCATTTTGAAGTGTTTCAAAACTTTATAAATGGAGATGTGGATTTAAAGGGCACAAACACAAAGGAATATTTTTTACTCAGGAACTTGATTTCCTCACATTTTGGCTCCAATTCCATAAAGTTTTCTAGTATGTCGTAACTGCTACATTGCACAGGTACTTTCTGCCAAGTAACTAGTCAGTCCCAAAAATTGAGAGACCATAAAAAAAGGAAAAAAAAAATGCAAGATTCAGTAATATTAATCAATTAATAGCCAATATAAGAAACACTGCCATAATTGCATTCTTTGATCTTTCCAAAAGTGATTTTTATTTAGTTGCCATCTTGCAACTATATTGAGTCACATGAGTTCCTCATGACGAGCAGCAACTCTAACCAAAGATATTTTCTCTTCCATTCACCATGTGTAATGCTTCATTTTTCCATTCTCAGACACTAATAACCTCTCATTAATTGGACATTAGCACAGACTAGTGGTGATAATTCACCACTGCAGTTATATATAATAAAATTACTATGCTGTCAAAACCAAAGTTCTATTGCTTAAGACTACTTGTCATCTTTCTATATAAACACATTTTATTATCCCAGTCCTCTAATTTGGTCACATACTGATTAGGCTTCCTTCTCAAAAAATACTCAAGAGTATCACAATACTTTTCTACCCACAGAGCAGAGTGGCGCAATAGACACAAACAGGTTGTAGAAGTCAGGAAAAAAATGAGATAAACTTATGGGATATACTCAGTTTGAGATATCTGTGGGTTTTTTACAAAACTAAAGTATTGGACCATTAAGAAATTAGTTCTCCACAATGTGAAATAATACATATTGGTCTCATTTGAAAAAAAAACTTATTAAAAATTTTAGAAGCATTATTTTAGACGTATTTCATAATTTATTCATTCTCTTGTATTTCATGAAAGTCAAAAAACCTGTCTTTCTCAAGTGTTGTACCTCTTGGGTTTACCTTTTTTCCTAAAATGCAAATGACATTGACTGAAATTACCTCAGGGAAGATGTATCTTGCTATTGCAAAAACAGACATACTGTATTCTCCTAATTGTTAACTACCTCTTATTGGTCAATCATCCTGAGCAGTGACCTCTCTGTTCTCCAAACAGTTTTCCATGTCCAAGCTGTGCTCAAATCAATGGCAACAGCAAAACAAGCTGGCACCTTCTTGCCTACCATTTCTCATCACTGAAGCAGCCCCTGGAGGCATGGCAGGCACCTCACAGTACCAAGAAGTCATAAAATACAGCACATACAGCATTTCATTGAAAAAATGGCTGAAATAATGGAATTGGTTAAATACTTCCTCTACTCAAAAACTGTTAAGAGGCAAGAAGATTTAACCAGGGATCCTTCACGAGTCACATTACCAGTTAGTAAGCACCAGTTACTGCACTAGCTTCCACCTGCTCCTGAAGACTAAACTCAAAACTGCATGTGAAATTAAGTGAAACCAGCCAGTGAGTTTGTCTCTAAGTCCATTTCAGACTGCAAGTACTAGAAATTATATCAGACCTAAATAATTTGAAAACTCAAGAGTTTTGTACTTAATTCAAGAAACTTATTTTCTTTACTGCTGCAAATTCTATAACTGAGAAATCAACTTTCATGTTCTCCATGAAGAAATTTCCATTATGCACACTTGTAGGAATCTGCACTGAGCACCAAGGGTACAGCTTCTACTTAACATGAACATCAAAAAGATCCCTTTCATACATTCCTTGAAAATATATGTTGTCTGGGAAACCAAGAACAATCTTGTCTAGCAGCAGTCTGAGGGCATGACTGGAAAATATTACCCAGGTAGCATCTCAAAGTGAATTTAATGCATCTATCAAGTACTGAGTAAACTCAATAAAACAAGCTTCAAGACAAAGCATTATATTAACTAAGTCCTAGTTTCTCACCCTATGTAAGATTAATGGTACAAATGTTAAATAAAACCATAAATTTTAGCCTAATTCAAAATTACATCAGTATCTATGCAAGAACTAAATCAGTTGTGTACCACATGAAAAGTTATATTTAAAAATACAGAAACTACTTATGCTTGGACTACTCTACACAGACATTGAAGAAGACTCAGAAGCAGTTTTATTAATGCAAACTGATACATCAATCCCTTGTCTGCTATTAGAAAAATAAAGACAAGGAGAGTACTTCAGCTTGTCACTCAAGAGCAACTCACTAAATAAAAAAAATTAAGCAGTCTTAAGTAAACTGGCTGCTATCATCTAATGCATACAGACCTTGTAGGGCAGCTCTTATCTTTCAAAAGGTAAGCCAGAACACAACTGATATAAAATATTTATAATAAACATCCATTAATCCTTTCATTCCCCACCCAAAAAGAAAAAAAGGTGAAAATTGAAGAACTAGTACAAGATGTCACCTCAACCTCAAGTTTTCTCTTGTGATTAGAAACAGATAATGCAGAACTCTTTCTGTGATAAAAATCAAGCATGAACAAGTTTCTAGAAAATGTAATTATTTGACAACTTTGAATGACATATGAGACCAAGAAATAAACACTCAAATGAAAAACATCTCAAGGCACCATGAATATGTGTTGAGAAAAACAAATGTAATAATTTGCACTGGTTTCTATGTTATGTATTTGAATACACAGCAGCATAGATGGTAAGGATAAGAATAGAGTATTTATGACAAAGCTACCTAAGACCAAATGATTCCCACAGGAGTAACCGTAACTTGGAAGTCTTTGTGACAGTGTCTAAAATAAAAGCACCTGAAAAAACACACAGCCTTCAAATATTTTGTTGTAACCTATGTGATATCCACACTATGTTTGCCTTGGGGGGCTCATTTTAGTTTAGTTGTAGCCTGGTCTTGAGGACTGAAACACACTTTGGCTAAGTGTTTCCTACAAGGAATGAAGCTTGCATACTCAGGGCACTTGGGGCCACAACACAAAGCATGGGAAGTGGGAACTACTGAGAGATTTGCTTCAAAAGCACAGAGTTCTATCTGACCTAAAAATGCAACATCGCATTATTTATTTTTATTTCTATTTATAGATGACTACACATTTCAACAAGATGGTCAGCTGGAAGAATAAAGACACATACAGATACTACCACTAGAACTTTAAGTTTAGTCACCTCCCTACTTATATGGGGAGTAGGGGACAAGTTTCTCCTTCCCTCTATTCTAGTCCACCACAACTCATCCACAGAATGGGTATCAAGACACTGCATTCAAGATACTAGAGAACTGCTCTGATCACCACCAAAGAACTTGTAACAGGCAAAGGTCTGATAAAAACCAATCTGATCCACAGTGAGCTAAGCTCCCTAAGAAATAGTCACTCCAAGCAAAAACAAGTTTCCAACAATGAGCACTAATGCTCCTGTTTAACTTAAAGGCATTTTGAATGCCAACAAGGATCTGACAAAACAGAAGTAAAAATTAATCAGTAAAACTTAGCAATCAAATGCTTCAAGAGAAAAATTTTGCATTGCAGAAATCAACATTTGAGACAGCTTTTGATGTAAATTAACAATTAAAGTAAAAGCATTTTAAAGCTCTCATCTCCCTGGTCTCTAAGAGGACTTTCATTTATGCTAGAATAATACGTTACTTTTCAGTATGTGGCTACTTAAGTCATTGACCAAAATTAAGTTAAAAATTGTACATTTGTTCCAAATGTTCACCATTTACAAGACCTTCTCCTCTAAGTTATCCTTGGCAGTTTTATTTTCCACTGTATTGATGCTGCACTACACAGTGCCACACTAGAGGAATCTAACTACCACCTCAATGTCATGCAGAGTTACAAAGTACAATACCTGACAAAGCTGCCCATGGTGCAGATGTGAGTGCAGCTGTAGAACTAGTGTGGTCAGATAGAGATTAGGTATCTCTACAAACCACTGCATTGCCTAACAAAGAAACCATTCTGTTCAAAGCTCAATTAGGACAGACATTCCTTCTAAGGAACTGCCATAATTAAAAGCATGTTTTAAACCAAACATTGCTCCCTCTTCTAGTACTGACAGATCAAAACTCTCAAGATTATGCTCTCAAAAAATAACAATGCAGACTTTGCACTTCTTCCTAAAACATGCTTCTTAACTAAGTCAGACTTGTTACTCTATACACAGTAGCAAATGGACTTCTACAGTTGAATTCTCGACCCCTGTGTTTATCAAAACCTGAAGTAGGAAATCCAAGTTCCCTTCAATCTAAATTACACAGTCAAAAACCTTACATGAATCTTCACTCAGACTGTTATTGTTAAAATTGTATATTAATTTTATCACATTCTTGTAGTTACAGAAAATTAAGATCTTATTTTAAACCCCCTTTGTCGTTTCAGAACATTTATGTCTATGTAAAAATGAATACATTACAGTGGTATATGGTGTTACATTACCTCAGAAACATTTCAAAGTGTTTTACTAAAGCCTTTAGGTTTTTGTCAGGAAAGCACATCTTCCCCAGTATTTCTGGTAGCTTTACTGTAAATAAAAGAAATAATGTTTACACCTGTTCTTGTAAAAAGCAACTTTTAACTACTTTTATCTACTATACAGAAAAGAATATAAAAATTCCTTCTCCCTTCAGACCTTGTTTTTCCTTTTAAGATACCTGGTTATCTTTCAAAGCATTACTAAATAGGAACATGCTGAGAAAGTGAATGCTGCTTGGTTTAATGATGTTTGACAGTGTATTGGAAGTAACACTGGTTTGCTTTTCTTAAACGAGGCTTATAGAGCCAGTAGAAGATAACTGGATCTATGAATAGTCTAAAAGTTCCAAATAGATTAAAATGCACATTTCTCCAAGAATAGAACTCAATGTGATAAAGCAAACAGAAAAATCACACAGATATGAGCACTGAAATAGAATGAAAATAAAGAAATTTTGATTGAACACAGAGTTTAGCATCAGTTTACCAAACATCCGCAGCAAATGTTGAGATCCATAGATATATGAGGGAGGTGGTGGCTGATCACTTGGTGGATAATTCTCTGGCATCAATTTCCAGGACAAAACCTAAACATAAAAATGTTGGCTATGAAATCTTTGTAACATCATAAATCATTTAGCCTGCACGGAACTTCAAATTCAAATTTGAAATAAGTAATACTAACAAAGCCTTTTTTTTTTTTTTTACACAGCCCAACTCAAAGGTCCATGAAACCTTCAATCAAGTAACATTAAAAAAAAAATCAGTTACCTCATTCAATTCATTGTTTCTTCTACCTTCAAAGCCAGTAAACACCGTGCTCCCTTCTTTGCTAGGAGTCAAAGTTATAGGTGAAGACGACCCACTATGGACAGGGGTTTCTTCAAAAGAAAAGCAAAAACAAGAGAAAACAGAAATAAATTCCATTACTTGTTTCAAGGAATTATAAGCCATTAAACACACCTAAGGCCTGCTGCTAAACTGTTTGAAGTTTTAAACACCCCAATTCAATAAAGGCTATCCTAAAGGAGGCTCTCAGAAAAGCAGCTCATAGAATTCTGTGGGAAAAATACAGTACCAACGTACTGAGAATATTGCTTTATATTTCTCTCTTGTATAAGGACTCAGAGATAAATAATTGATACAAAAGTAATGAATTTACACTTTGATTATTCAGTTCACAGCGATAGTATAGAGTAAAATGTTTGGAAGTGTGGTAGTCAAGGTAGACCTTAGTGACAAAGATGGATATTATGTTTAGTAGAGCAACGTGAACTTGTATGTACTTGCATATCCATCTGCACATATCTGCTTGATTAATAGATTATTATTTGCCTGGTTAATAGATTATCATTATAAGATCTTGAAACTATGTTTGGGGGCACTATAACAATGATCAAAGGGAACTTGAAGTTATGCCTAGGGAGGATTGTAACAATAATCAAAAGCAACTGGGATCCATGCTTGGGTGAAATCAATAGAATAATAGTAATGTAATGATTAACCTATGGTTATGTAAGAGAAGAGTATAAAAATGTATCCATCTCAGATCCATGTCGGAGTCAGATTTGGGTCTGTACCCCAACCCCCAGAGCTCTTCAATAAAAGCACCCATAGAATCATTCAGTGATTACGTGTTTTCTACGCTAACAACAGTGCCCACACCGCATTAAAGAAAAACAACTCAACTTTACGCTTTGACTAGATCAACAATTTAAAGGGCAAGCCCTACTTTTTTCCAGGTGCAAAAAAAGCTTCGGCATGGAGGCCGGGGTCTCCAGATGCCGCCGTTTGGGCTGTGGGGAGGCACTGCTCTCCGACAGCCGGTCGCAGTTGGAGCTGTGCCGCGTGGAACGTCGCAGCGACTGCAGGATCTCGGGCTCCGCTTTGCGCCGCTTCGGCGTGGCTGGCTCCCCCGCGGGGGGCTGGCTGTCCGTCGACTGAGGCGTTGGTGGATTCAACAGAGGAGGACTGGGGGAAAGCTCCTCCTGATTCCTAGGAAATAAAGTATTGAAGAGATCAGGGCTCTCTACCTGCAAAAGAAGTTCTTCTAGTTTCACAGATCTTGTAAAACACTTATGTGGCTTAGACAATCTGCTCCCAGTTACTCAAGAGCCACGAGACTTGCCATTAAATACTATTTTCCAGAGGTATATTTATTTTCAAATAGAAGGTAAAAAACACAAATACCACATTCTACTACGTTTTCCTCAGGAGACAAACTTCTTGAGCTTCTTATACCCAACCTACCTGTTAGTATTTGTTGAGTTTTCTTTGATAGGAAGAAAGAATTTTGATGAAGTCACCTTCTTGAATTGAGCTTGTTCATAAGGATAGAGCAAAATTAATGGAAGTGTGAAATCGAAGGTTATTCTCAGCCCATCCACCATCTCTTTACATAGCTCAACACTAGAGGGGAAAAAAATTTCGAAGTTGCATGTCAAAATTTTTCAGCACAGTTGTACAAAATTGCCTCATAATACAGACCATTAACATCATAACTACAATATGTTGATCTAATCACTGAGTAATGATAAGTGATTAAAAGCATACTTAAGAAGACAGTGATTGCTCTTCTTAACTTCAGAAACACATTTTTCAAAAGTCTACTTCAAAAGCTCAAAATCATACAATTGTTCTATTACTATTTACTGATGTTTTTCATGTAAGCATATTTTGTTTTTCCAAGTTTAGTACACTGAAAAAAAGAGGCACCACCCAGAAAAACTCAACAGACTGAGACTGTCTAGAAGGCATATGCAGAATTTGATCTGTAGCTGCTAAGATGCAGTTAAGGCTGTGCTTAAGAGATATCCAGTGAATCAACAAAACCAGGTATGCTTGCACTGGAGATCAGTGTCCAATGGTCTGCTCCAGTAATCAAAGCACTACATTTTGAGGCCACTAGGAAATTTCAGTTTTAGGCAGGTGTAAAGGACTCAGAATGTTATATGGTGAGTACATGTGCTGTTAAAAGCAGAACCAAGAGCACCGAGTGCAGCCCATCTGCAACACCTCTCACCTCTATTAAGGAATTCCCCTCTCAGGTTTCAAGTGAATATATGTGTGTGGTAACAGAAATTTGATTCTGTCAAAATGACCCATGTTAGAAATTTCAAACCTTCTATTACCATCTGATACCACTTCCTAAAACCACTACCCTTTTTTTTTTAACATTACATTTAAAATGGGTCAGGGGACCATCATGTGCAGAAATTCTATCACATCCAAGAAGGTCAACAGCCTTCAGTGTTAGCACAGTAAGGGCAATACAATCAAGTTGACAGCTGAATCTCTCCTACTTAATGAATCACCAAAATGATACACAATATCCCTGTTAAAGCACTGTCTTTATTGAGGATGTTACTTAAACATACACCTTTAAAAATTATAATGTGCGCACAACCTTCTATTCATATTTCTGGTATTTCACTTTTTTGTTTGGTAGATTATACTACAAAGCAGGAAAAACATCATTAATCTGTCAAAGAATGAATGACACCAACATAAACCTAGACACACATGTAGACCAAAATATTGCACAGAATAGCATAATTATGCACCATTGAAACAGAACATTGCAACACAAGTCAAGATTTCTCTTTGAGAAAATACACAATTTCACCCCAGTGTAGACTTAGATAAGAAACAGTCTCATCTATTATGGAGAATCTTAAACCAAACAGAAAATAACACAGTGCAAACACGCAGGGCTAATGCATTTGTAGATGGAAGAATATGCAGCCCAGCTGAGAAAACAGAAACTAAGACATAATCAGTTTTAACAAACAGGACAGGCATTACTACACACAGTTTTCCTACAAATTTGCTCTAGGATTTAAGATCACATGTCAATTAAAACAAGCCAAAACACCCCAAACAAAACCCTGCACTTGGAGGGTTTTTTTTAAAGTACTTGTACTGAATTTTTAGCCTTTATAAAACTTGAACCTGATCAGTTTTATGTAAGCAGAGTGTTCTCATATCAGATAGATATTCTTCACATTGACAACAGCAACACATTCTTCCAAATGGGTCACAACATTCACTGTTGCATAATGACTTTTCAGAATATAGGAACTCTCTCACTGATAAACAAATTGTCAGTGTTACTGTACAAGTATCTGTCAAACACTTTAAGCCCTCTAAGTAGACACACATCATGGTATAAGCTCACAGAAGTGAACAGCCATGAAACAGAACACAGAATGTAAGGTCATTCTTCTTGGGGCAATAGCACTGGACTAAAGCTGACTTACTTCTTCTCCGGTGGCACATAATGAAGATTCATATTAGCGTGTGGAGTCATCTGATGGTGCCGAGATCTTTCATTGGCTGAAAAAGCAGCATTAATAGCAAAATGTTTCACATATGACTCCAGGATGGTTATTATATTGGTTTGACACGGAAGCTTCACTAGCTGAAAGAGAAACAACAAATTAATGTCTTTTATAAAAACAATGAGTAAGTATATCAAGTTAAAACTTTCAATTAGTTTCTAGTGCATGAAGCTATTTTAGGTCTCATTAATTTAAACCCTTAAACTGCATTTTTGATCATCCCTTTGTAAACATCTGAGAAACAAAAAACGTGGCTGGGTTAACGAGGTTGCTACATTTCCAGCATTAAGAAACAATCACAGTTGGGTACTGGAACACTACACTAGAAAATATGACAAGTCGTTGGGTTAGCTACAGAAAAGTCTGCCCCCTACATTCATTTATTCTTCCTTATACTAAGCTCACCTTTGCCATGAAGTTAAAAAACCCAGATGTGGTAAATGGAAAAACAACTTCTCATATCCTCCCCACACCCTCATGCACATTCATTTCACAGCTTTTATTTCATACCCTTTTTCTTCTATTAATATAGTAGCAGTCTTCCTCAAGCTTCTTTTTCAAGACTTCAGGAATTTCTATGCTTATTGCTCTTTCTTCCATGTCCCTTTTTGTGTGTGTGTCTTGTTCTTCTTTCTACAACAGAGCAGTGTAAGAAACAATATACTGGTTGTGCTTAAGAATACTAGTGGAAAAAAAGAACTTCAATAGTCAGGATACAATAGAACAACCAAGTTTTGTCATACAAAAATAAAATCATTATTTTTAGAATACAGTAAACATTTGGGTAGATAGGAGCCTTACTGTAAGCTATTAGGCTTTGTCCAGCTTGCATGGACCAGTAAATTTTTAAAGCAGCCACAAATGTGAAAAAACTAGTCTGCTACATCTTCGCCACATAAGCCTTATGTGGAGGAGAGGAAAAGAAACAAATGTGTATTTTTAGATTAATATCAAGTAATTCTACAAGAGTATGGTATCTTGTACAACTTTCAAAATCTCAATCACAGTAAACACCAGGAATAGAGAAAAATTAAGGTTTTCATTCCAGCTAAGTCACCAACTGTGGCCTATATCTACTTCCATTTTCCCAGAGTTTCAAATATAGATGTTTAAATTCTATTGAGTTAAGCAGCTCATGAATATACCATTTCTGTCCTCTCGTCTATGTCACTTTCTTCACTTTTTATTTCTTCATCTGTTCCCTCATCGCTGTCATCAGAAGAAGAACTACTTATAGCTGCATAAAAGAGATTTCACATATTTATCTCATATTAGTTCATTGCAGGGGTTATGACAAAACAATTTCAGGCTTTAAAGACAAAAAGACCAACCCCACAACTAGCTTGTTATATTTAATGACCATAATTCTACTTGAATCAAACACAGTAGTAGTATTTACAGCGCACTATAAACATTTTAAATATGTAAAACAAGTTTATAGGAAGTATTCTTGCAACCTCTGATTGAAAAACACTCACTTTTAGAAGCTCCCTACATTTCTGAACACCCACAGATCTTTCCAGCTTTCACTGGACTTTAGCTCTGAACAAGGGATAAACATATTAATCATTCAGTCAAAAGTTCTCTATCTGTGCAGCAACAGTTCCCAGAACCTAAGTGCCAGCCAGTTCCTGCTGGCTTTCTTGTTTCAAAGTAAAATGCAGGAAATTTAAGACCTTGCTTGAAAGTGAAGTCAGCCAGTCAGCTGACAAGAAACAGACCTTTGTGCTAGGTAGACTGAGAAAAAAAATATTAATCTTATTACCCCCTAAAATACATAGAAATACTATCAGGGAAAGTGTCTTGTTTCCTAACACCAAACAAGAAAACGCAGGGCTTCTCACACCAACCAATGCCACACTAAAGAAAACAGCCTTGAGCTTCAAAATCACTAATTAGAATAGTTGAGTGAGAGAGTTGCAAGGAAAAGCCTCTGGAATACAAGAAATAAGATATCCTAACTAAATAGATGCTAAGCATGAAACATAGTGCTCCCTCTTCATGCGGCTGTGCATTTCAGATCGGACCATGATACACTTGTGTCATCCTAACAGCAAGTTGCAGTGTGCACTGTTTCCCCAGATCAAGAAGTTACAAGGCATCACACCAGTTACCAAAGGATGAAAACAAGCTCACAGTTTTCACTACTCTCATCATTTTCTTCAGC